TTAGTTAAATTTCGATTTGATTAGTTTTAGTATTTAGATTTAACAGTTAATTTTGGTCTCGTATAAATGAAATGGTGGTTATGATGCGCGATTTGACTCACAATTCCTTAGCCAGAAGAATAGGCTTGAGAATTTTAGCATACAAAATAATATCTCAAAAGTTTTGAGATGAAAATTGTACTTAAACTAACAAATAACATGCACGACGAAATGAGTCATTAGGAAAATAAAAAAGTGGGAAACTAGTAAGTGAGGAAATTAAATCGCTTAGAATAAATTATTATGAAATTTTGCAATTGTTTTCTGTTTTATACATCAAGTTGGAATTTTTAAGTTTGAGTAGTTCAATGCTAAATCCAAAGTAAGGCCCTGAAATCTGCTGAGATCTATTAAATCTCGTGTAAATACTTCAAAAAAGCGAATAATTATTCTTTTATATGCTTCATCTGATATTTTGGATTAAAATTTTGAACTTTAATAATAGTAGAGATGATACAATGTTTTGTTGTTCTAAAATAAATTAGTTAATTACCAATCAATTTCTGTTTATTTCACTATAAATCCTTCCGGAAAAACTTTTTGAATTTTTTTAAAGAAAGTTTTGTTTTTTTTATCAGTCGAGAGAAGCGCCAACATCACAACTTTTAATGTCTTATCTCTCTCCCACATATCAATTAGCGGACGAACAAAGAATAACAGGAATGTTACAATTAGCAATGGAAATTGATCATAAATTCACTTTCATTCAACGGTATAATATGCATTTCTTTTTTTTGTGTGTGAAATAATACTGATGCTTATAAAATGAAAGGAAATTTTGAAAAAAAAGAAAACGAGTTGATATTATCAATGAATTCTTCACGAAAAAAAAAACCTGAAAATTTGAAATCGTTCACAGGAGATAATTTTAATATATTTCTCTCGCATCTTAATCGATATTTTAGCAAAATGTTGTCAAACAAATGTGATAAATAGTAAGTAATAGGCAAATTTCATTTACAGAAATAATGAATTCTGTTTCGAACCAAATGATCCGACATTGAAAGGCAGAAGTATTGTGTTATTGGATGGTGGAACAGTCGTACTCGTTATTGAAAGATTTAATGAAATTGAACTGAGGTACGAATTGATATATATTGATTAACTATTTTCATCGTTTATCTATTATGCAATTTATAAAAGTATTTCATTACTTCCTTTTGATGGAAAAAAGAACTTTTCCTGAAGCGGGAAAAAACAATGACTTCAGTGGATTTATCAGATTTTTCACAATTCTCATAGCAAATCATACTTAGGATATGTTATCAAAGACTTTTTCATGTTTTAGTATATTATAAATTTTAATGATATTAGATGATATAAATTAATTGGATAGTTGATAAACAATTTTAATTTATTAAATCTTGCTACATTCATTTTCTTTACAATTATCATTTCTAGTCGGGAAATATGGCAAAAAGCATATTGGAGTCAGTTTCTTTGGGCTATTCGAGGAAAATGTATGCGTGTAATGTATCAGAATTTTAAGGAACCAGCTTATTTATAAAATAAATTTACAAAGGCATGTTTAATTTTTAATTTGGATATGCTTAATGAAGTTAATCTTTTACCTTCATATTGTACTTATCATCAGTCACTTCGCTAGTTTTAATTTTTTTTTTTTTTTTTTTNTTTGTTTATGAATTTCTATCTTCGATATATTTATACATTTTTAACTTCATAAACAAAAAAAGAAAAAAATTTGTTCATCAACATCGGGTAACATATCATGTATACGAATTTCATTCTTTTTTATATACATATTTTCATATTTTTTGTATATGAATTTTGTTTCTTTTACAAATCTCTGTTCATGTTTATATCTCGGTAATTTCGTTCATTAAATTGTGACACATCAAAACAACATAATGACGTGTAAAATTTACAATTTTTTAAATTGAATTTTGTGAGAATTTTGAAAGTTCAAAATTTTCCAGAAAATATTTGTAGTATAAATAATTGAAATTTGTATTATTGCTTATCATTCTGTTTCTACAATGGCCTTTCTCAATAATAGGTGCATGGAATTTTGCATATTTTGTTTTTTAATTTTCATTCAATTAATAATCATACACATTAATTTTGTAGCACCTTTGTAACTAATGAATATTCAGACGTTAATATTTTCGGATATTTTAAATTATCATTTCGTATTTAATTTTGACTTTATCATATGTTTATTTCCTTATTAAAGGCAATAGATTGCATAGCACCTATTTCGAATTGTACCAACATGAATTGGTGAAACAGAAAAATTGTGTAACATTTGAATGGTGATTCTGTGATTCCATGTTTATCAATATATTTAATGTAAATTAGCATTATCATAGATAGTTTAATAGATGGAAATAATATTGATGCATTAAGAACATCCTACCGTTCATTTATCAATCATTTTATGATAATTAGCTTCATTTTTAGTCAGTAGTACGATATCAACGAGAAATTTTTTCGTCATCGGTGCTACGGAATGATTTTCTAAATTTATGCATATAATTCACTGGTTCCTTTTTATTGATTGATTGATTTCATATGAAGTTGTGTAATTTTATTGAAGAGCAGCAACAAATTGTCTGCTAAAATATGATTCATAAAAGTTTTTTTTTTTTTTAAAAAAATTGAATGGCTCTCTTTCTCTCTTATCTTATTTAATTGGCACTTCTCCCAGCTTATGTTTATATATTCATGATCAAACTAAAAAATTTTTCCTTCTTTCTACTTCAAATAACTTTTTAGTTTAATCATGGAATATATTATAATTTTTTTCAGAACGTTTTTTTTTCAATTTCGAAGTTTTTTTTTTCATTTTATTAAAATGTCTGATTTCAAACAAATTAATGGAAATAAAATTATCTTTTACGTGAAATCATAGCATCATGAACACGATAACAAAAATTTTAGATAAAGCATATAAAATGCTGTAGAAAAATAAAATAGTAAGTGACCTTTATTTAGCCTATTGTACTATATTTGATTGTATTAGACCTTCCACAACAATAAGCACGTCTGTTTGATTGTTGATCGAAAATCTTTTTCATCATTGCACAACTTATAACATTAGCAAGCAAATTTAATCAAACAAAATCTTTTAATTTGTTTACAATTCCTTTTCGTAATATTTCATAATCAAAATTTGGATTTGCGATATTTGCATGAAATGTATGAAAATGATTATTTATGGTGCCTTCTTTTCTCCTATGCTGAATACATTTGCATTTTTATTTTTTAATTATGAATTAAGTCGAAGAAATGAATGCGTATTACATTGTATGTGTTAATTTTTTTCTTCAAATATAAAAATCCAAGGGAAGTGATTCCGGATCAAAAGTGAATTTCAAGATTGCACTATCTGTAGAAAAGGCCTATTCACTTTCATTTGGTGTTTATTTGTGTTTTATTTGTTAATTCTCTTTCATTTCTTTAGAAATTATCAAAGATTTGTTACATGTAAACATAGAGCAGTATGATTTTTGTTTCCGATTTAATAAATTAGAAATGATAAATATTATCAAATTTAATTCCAATATCTTAATTGCTACACACCTAAACCGGAAAACTATCCGGTAGGATTAAAAAATGTGAGCGGAATACAACAGAGAACAGGTAACAACGATATTATCAAATTTTAATTTCCATCAAACAATTTCGTTTATTTATCATCGCTAATTCCGTCCATATCATCAGTATGAAATCCATCTTCTACACCAGTCGCTAATTTTTCCGATTACATGTGGTTTTGTTGTAGTAATTACGTCATTGTTATCATTATCATTAGCCTCATTAAGAGCATCTTCCAAATCGCCCATGTTTACTTCAGTTAGTACCTAAGTTCGTTTAATAATATTCAACGTTGTGAATTTGACATGGAATTTAAAATCATCAATATTAAATAGAATTCATTCTAATTTTAACATTGTCACATACTAAACTTATCCGTTTTCCAGGGCTAATCTCCTATCAGTTATAGAGAAATGCGATAAATTTAAGCATTGAAATATTTTAAAAAACTTACAGGATCAATTCTCGATGCACGGTGCTGTACCGGAGCGGACACCGATGAATTTGATTTCGTATAATTTTTATTTTGCTGAAAATTTCATTTTTTTTAGGATTTTAAAAGAAAATGAATCGAATAAATTTGTAAAAATTAATATGCGATATAAAAATAGCAAAAGTATATTTAACTTTTGCTTATTGAAAAGCTATTATTTAGAAACAAAAAAAATTTTAAATTTCTTTTTTAATTCTTTTTTTGAGGACACAAACCGAAAGCAATGAAAGATGGAGGTTGAAGTGGAAAAAGACAAAATTGTTGAAATATTTGATTTTTCTTTTCGTTTTTGATTTTTTTTTCCTAATAAAAACTTTTTGATCAAGAGTTATCTACAAGCTAATTAATATTACCAAGACATTAACATAATTACCTGATGAGCTACAGTATCGAATGGTTTTGAAGTTGTTGCAATAAATAAAGATGAAATAAATATGAGAACAAACATTTCTTATTAAAAATTATTACTGAATTCTTCCATACTTCTACTTATATATCTATTTTATTCCTTGCATTCCCAGTTGGTAATCATCGTAAAATTGATATTATTCTTTTATTATTTGCGATTTTTTATTTTTAATTCTTGATCATTATCAAAGATTATAGCAATTTCTTTTCTTTCCTTCCGCAATTATCTTCTAATGGTTATAAATATAACTTTTTAAATTCATTGCATGATTTATGCTCTGCAAATTTCTCGATGCATGTACTCT